CTGATTAGGATGACAATCGGATAGGTAGATTTTTTTTATTTCTTTTTTTTAACTTAACCAATAACCAGTTATGCATTTAAAACACTTAAAATATCCTGATACATTGTTCGTTGGCATGACAAAGGCGGCGGTCTGTGCGCATTGGCAATGATTATCTCTTTAAACTTTCACTTTTGATAATCGTCCAACTAAATCTCGTATTATTGATACTACATACTTACATAACTCATCGTTACCATTTGCACTCTGGATAACATATATGTATATATATAACGTTAACGTTTCTATATTATTATTCTACATCCTTTCTGAATTATTGGCCTGTGAAACGTTCATCAAAGTTGCATTGGCAACATTTTAGGTTATTTCCGAATATTCCGCACGATGTTTTTACAAACAAATTAATATACCGAATCAAATAAAATTTGAACATTTCCGTGCAGGTTGCGTAATTATCCAAGGAATATGTGGATTTTTTTCTAATGATAATTAGTTGAGTTGCGTTTTAATTGTTTCATTTAATACTTTCAAAAATTAATTTTGTTCAACTCTTCTTATGACGATAGCAATAAAATATTTTTGACGTCGTTTTGTAGTTTTTGTCTTTATTAATTATTTTCTCCTATTATTATTATTATTTTTCTCAAATATATATTTTGAAACTGTATTATTATGTATCGAATGATCAGATTGTTTACAATAGTTATGCGCTAAAATCATAATTTTAAAACTATTAATCAATCAAACAATTATATCGTCTGAAGCAAACACCATGAAATACGCTGTATAATGTGTATAATTATTATTAAACGAACCATAATTAATAGGTTTTTATTTTAGTAAAGGTATAGAGGTTCCTCGGCACATAATTGTTTTTTTATACGGTGGAGTTTAGTGACTTTAAATCCACTCGTGAAGGTCAATAAGATACTATGTAATTAACTATTTTTATAATTTCATAATTATTATTATACTATATAAAACAAATTTTAGAATTAGATTTACTGTTATATCAGTTTTGTGCACTTAATTGTTTATAATATAATATAATACTCTATTATTTACTTCCTATCGTTATAATGTGTAATAATTTGTAGTTGTAATTATTAATCAATCTAATGTATTCAATGTATTATGGATTATAAATAATTCTAAGTATAAATGCTATTTTTAAATACATTTCCAACGTTATATTTTGTAAGATAGATTATCCATTTATAAAAAATTACGCGTTTGATAACATATAGTACTTATATTTCAAATTATCTTTTATATATTACATACGTTTATTTATATAGTTGCTTAATAGATAATCTATGCATATATTTTTAAATATCTATAGTTTTTTTTCGAGTACCCAAGTATACTACCTACAATATTCTAAAACTAGTGGCTTTTTTCTTCATTATAGTTTCGAATTTGGTTTCTATTAAATTTGATACTTTTTTTATCGACGTGATTTGTGAATAATATTATTGTCATAAGCAAAACTTAATGTGTATGAATATATTAATAAATTTAAAACTAAATAAAGCCGTTTCTTTGTGTTAACCCAATTAAACTATGACGTATACATTTTATTTATTTTGATACAATAATGGACGTGTTCGTGCGTAATATTCATTAAATATTTGATCATTCAAAACTTATAAAAATGTTGTAAAGTATACATGCGTACATCTAGAAGCATTCGAGATATGGTGTTATAGACGAATAATGAGAATATCTATGGATTTACTGCACAACAAACAAAAATATTTTAGAACGAATAGACAAAGAAACAGCAATTATTAGCAAAGTGAAAATACGCAGATTGGGTTACTTTGCACATATACTGCGACGTAATAAGTACACGATACTTAAGCTAATATTATTCGACGGGAGATTTAGGTTAGGAGTGGATGTAGAAGACTACCAATAACATTTATACAAAATATCAGAGTAGTACCGAGTGTACAACGGTTGAACTGTTTCGGGTAGTGCGAGATTGAGAAAATTGGAACATAATAATAACCAACGTCCAATGACGATATGATATTAAAAAAAGAGGATACACATTTTAGATTCTGAGTATAACTAAGAAGTCATGTTTTATGTATTATACATATTTATGTGTATGTTTTTTCATGACATACCTTCAATGATGCGATTTTTTTTCTATATGGTACTTTTGTTTGCAAATAATTTCTAGATTTCCAACAGTTTTATGTACAATTTTTAAAAAAATGTTCATCAAATGTTGATACATTGATTTTATTTTGTTGGTTTTTTGGCTATTTAGACTACATTTAGAAAAAAAATGACTTCTATCAGGGAACTGCTGCCATCATATATATATGTATTATATTATAATAGAAAACAAAACGAAAAACAATTTAATTCCCATTCGTTTTAATGTAAATTTTTTGAAAGGAAATAATCGTACTATATAATACATAAAATAAATCGTATTTAATAGAGTGTGTATTTTTATATATTCTAATTACCACATTAACGTTTTAACGTTTCGTATAAAAATATATGAAAATTGTTTATGGTTGTCGAGAGTGTAAAGCACGATAACAAAAAAAAAAAATGTAATTATACCTATAAGTAGTTCACCTTCAAGTTCGATATTTACAAAATGTCTTGAAAAAAAAAAAAACAGATTTTTTTTGAATTAAACGCATTCGTATTTTTCTTTGTACACCTAACGATGATGTCATTTTGTGTTCGTTTACAGTTAAGAATGATGAAATATATTATTATAGTAATATTAAAAAAAAAAAAAAAAAAAAAGTAATCGAAATGATTCCTTGAACAGAACGATTGCGAATATTATACGAAAATGTTACTTTTTTTGCACTTTTGCACTATGTACTGCTTATGTATACATGCTGTTTTGACTACCTTACTTACTGTTTTATGTATTCATTTTATCATATAGGTAGATGAACAACGCTTCGAACGTACGCATATGTTGATTTGAATACATAGTTAAAAGAAAGTAGAGAACATATATTATATATTATACTTACTTTTTTCAATTTTATATTATGCGTATAAAAATGACGAACAACATAGTATTCAGTTTAATATTTAAAGTTTTTGAATTTTTAAAGGGCCGTGTATTTTATGTATGCGTGCGACATTACGATTATTTATTTAGTTATATAGGTAGTATTGTATGTACAGATAAATTTTAAAATATCTATATATTTCGGAAATTGAGTTCATAAGAGTTAATATCTAGATAAATATAAGAGATACTTGATAGAATAATTATATAGAAAAAGATGAATAATTAAGAACTATTTATCTTGAAAAAAAAAAAATAATAATAATTTTGTTCATAACCTTTTATAAAACTATATAAAAGTATTAGTAATAGTATAAGTAAAAGTCTACCAGATTTGATAGACATCCATGGTTGCATGCGATCGGTGTGCTTAATAATTCATTTTTTAAAACTATATTAATATAAAATGTCTTACCTATTATTTTAAATAAATGTACAAATTAATATTTAAAAAGATTTATCGAGAAGGAATTTTAATTAGATAACGAAAACTATGATAACTTATTTCTTTCTTTATTTAGATACGATAAAAGATAAAAATATACTTATCTAGATAAAACGCCATTGGTTTAGTTCGTGTTATTTATTTATTTTCATTTTTAAAACGTAATTTTGGTAGAGTTTATTAGTATAATAATAAATAATAATAAAATTATTGTTTTACAATAAATTTAAGACATATCTTTGATATCAAAAAAACCAGTTTTAAAATTTACTTCCTATCTATTCACAAGAAAGGCCTCTATGTCAATAATCGTGTTTTTATGAAAGAAAATACATTCAGTGTATTGTTGCATAACATAATGCATTTTTTTTTTTGGTTGGGTGAGAAGGAGAAAAACTGCACGATTGATTAAAAACTTATATGTATACATGAATGATAATTTCCTGATTATCCTCATATTTATCGCGAGAACCCGGTTTTTAAAATTCAAAACATAAAATTACTGACGTAACACTGTTCATAGTAATCGTTGCTAAGCAAGTATAACGATTTAGTTAAAACCCATTCGCTTTGCTGTACTATAATTATTATTTTATTATGAACGTTGTAAAGCGATTATACAATTTTTGGATTTATTATTTTTTGTTTTTTTTTTTTTTGTTTTTTTTTTAACTTTGTTGGACGTTGGATTTTTTTCTGCATAAAATATGAAATCCTTTGTGTATGCTATATCTATCTTGTCTATTATACTTTTATATAATATTATTATATATTATATTATGTTATAAATGCGAAAGTGTTAAGATTTAACGGCTTAACGGCGTAATTGATTTTGAAAAAAATCCTGAGGACATAAGCTGACATTTTTTTATTTTAATTCAACTGTTGATGGCACGGGGTTTTTGGTATTTTTGAAACAAAGGTATAATTATTTTCGTTAATGGTCGTAATTTATATTTTTTCTCGATTTTTATATTTTGAGTGAAGTACGAATGTGTTTTTATTTAATTTATTTTTTGAGTATGTATTCTGCTAGAAATCTTGCGCCAATCAAAAATTTATTGGAACTTGTAGTATTTTTGATCTAGGTTGTGCATTATGAGGATGTCATTTTTTTTTACAGGGAACACGGAAATACACGGAGAGGGGGTGAACGTTTTAGTTTTAGTTTTTTGTTTTTTCATTTAACAGCCAGTATTATAATATTTCGACCGTTAAACAACATTTTACGCACCACATATAAATATTTTGCTGCAATCATATAATATTTAATATTATTTATATAGTTAATATTTAAATTTAGTTTTATGTATTAATTAATTACATACATTATCAAATATTAGTTAACCGGATGACAATACACACACACACACACACACACACACACACACAATTTTTCTATACATACTACCCGGACCAACATCTTGGACTTGGAGCTTTTTGCTCGTTCCCGCGATACATGTTGCTATCACTGTCTATTGTTTCCGCATCAAGTAAAATCAATGTAATCGCTTCATGATTTTGCGTGCCGTCCTTTTCCCAATGCTAATCTTCTTTGTACCGTTTCGATTTCAGTATACGTACTGCCGAATGCAATGATATATTCGGTGTTGTATAATATGATAATATATTACACATGTGCGTAAACTATTTTAAAATTTGTATACCCGTATAACATGGGAATATCGCCGCAGAAGAGTCGCCGCGCATTGTTGCCCCTAACTCGTTTGCAGTCGTATGTATACGGTTAAGATGGCGTTGTGCAGCTTGCATATTATCGACGAATAAATCGGTTTATATAATGTATATATATATGGGTATGTCATTCAATATACAGAATATTGCGGATTTTCGAAAATTTTATATATTTTTTTTTTTTTTTTTTAATATTAAATATGACTACGAGGAACGAGCGCGCGCATACCCCATACGTCATATTGTTCGTTTTAACGAGATTTAAAAAAAAAAAAAAAAAATAATCGCAGACGGCGCGGCGCGGCAATAATGTGTTTACATACACACACACACACACAGCGGAGAAAAATCATGTCGAATGCGCTCTCTTGTCATCTGCATCATCGTGTGCGCCGCGCGATTTTCATTCTATGTAACCCTAGAGGACTTACAAAAAAAAAAAAAACCCCGTGTTGTACACTTGCGCGCGTGTTACATATATATATATATATATATATATATATATATATATCTACGCGTACTCGAAAAGAGAGCAGAATAAAAGCTTTCACTTCAACTTCACGCACACGCGCCGTACACACTGTACATTATATTATTATTATTTCGTATATACATATATATATATAATAATATATGTTCGTGCGGCATTAATATAATATGTTAAAAGCCACTGCGGTATCTAGTTTGCAACTTTTCCGCGTGTGCGTGTACACATATAAACGTTTGCTTTGCGCGCGACACGACAATAGATTTCGTTAAGTCCACTGTACGCGTGTATTTTATACACTTTTGCGCGTGTGTATTTTGTTCCCGCGGCCCGTTCAGACGCAGTTTCGTTTTATATCGTGTGCGTACACGTCTGAAAAACGACGCGAGCGCGTTCAATTTCTAATTATAAAAGTTAAGTACGTTTTGTACGCGTGCGCGTGCGCGTGCGTGTGCGTGTATGTATATATATACATATGTATATATGTATATATATATATTATATTATATAAGCGAACCGCACCAGTTTTCAGTTGTTGCGCAGCGCGGGGCGTTGGTGGTGTACAAGGCGAGGCAGGTGTACGGTGCTTGATAACTTTGTCGTCGCCCCGCGCGTTGTACGTACGCGTGTGTGTATATAATAAATGCGTACGCGCGCAATAATTAATTTTCGAATGAACTCGGGCGCGCCAATCGCGACGGAGAGTTTTTCCAAAATACATACGGTTCAATTAAAATATGAATACCGCGTCCGTCGCAGTTCATACGCGCGCGGCGTTCACAAAACAATCAACCGTAATGCCGGTCTTTCGGATTTCCAACTGAAATTTCACGCCGTTCTTAAAAATCCGCGATTAAACGTCTACCCCGCGGCCGGTAAATTCCGGTTTCGTTTGAAACAATAACGCCGCAATACGAGGTGACATTGCATTACGCCGGTAAGACAATTTAACCTTTGGCGCGATTCATAACGTATTTTACATTGCGAACGCGTATTGCTGCCGTAACGGTTCCGTTGTTGTAATGACATCCAGCGATTGCATTTTTAACACAATTTTCGGTTAGGAAAAACGTTTCCAATTTGCCGGTACCGTGTCTGAAAAGACGCGCGTTTTTTTTTCCTTCCCCCCCCCACTACAAACGACGGATATGCCGGTATTGTACTTTTGTCGATTTCCGGTTTACCTTGACTGCAGGGGGAAATCACGAGCTCCGCTCAGAATCGTCTCGTGATTGCGTCGGTAAATCAGTTTCTTTCAGTATACAATCCAAATTAAATCGTACCTCTCGGACTTCCTGCCTTCCGACGGGCGAAATATATCCGGCTTTTAATCTTTACTATCGTACGATTTTCGGTACATTTATTATAATTTTTTTTGTCATCGACCTTGCCTCAGTATAACATAATGGATAGATAACAGCGTTATTATGTCTATGTTACCGAGACTCGTATAGATTTACTAACTAATATATACTCATAACATCACCATTGCGTATTGAGGACGTGTATTATACACAGGTATGCGAAAAAGAAAATCCGTGCAGTTTTCAAATGTTATGTTTATATAGAACACATTATTATATTATTAACCGCGGTACAAGGAAATACGATTCGGTAACGTTTTATATTATATTGCGGTACCTACCTAACTATATTTTTGCGAAATGTTGTAAAAAAAAAAATAAATCAACAAATCGATTCCGTGTTGAATTTTTGTTTTATTATTATTTTTATTTCTTTTTTTTTTTTTTTTTTTTTTGTCGCAGTCCATATGTCGATTATTATACATGTACACTCGCGTTGTAAAAATTATATATTTCACACCTGTCAACGTCGTCGTTGGGTGTGTTATATTTATATATTGTGTACAAGTGTCTATGTATTGTATTTACTTGAGCAACTAGATTATTGTATAGTTAATATGTGTATTCAAATCGCCCGTACTATATAATATAATACTAGTTACGGGAATCTAGTCCACGGGCATTAATTTCAAGGTTTGAGAAAGTGTTATACTGCTGCTACACCAATGCTATATATATATATATATATACACACAGATGATTAGGATCTGGTGTAATTTTCTATTGTTTACAATCTATAACGGTCTACGTGATACAGTACGCTTTTTATAAGAGCCCCGTCGTCATGGTGGCGTTTTTCTGCGTTTGGCTGTTTTTCTAACGTGCAATATACCTTTTGGTTACGACGAATAAAGGCTTGAGTCAATCCCCCTCCCCCCTTCTCCTCATAATTTCGTCTTATGAAAATAGTTTCCCTTTATTTGTTTCAAAGGGAAAATATTTACGGTTGATATGTACACGTCTTGTTATACTGAAAATTAAAATATCTCAAGCCACTATTACGATAGTTTGGTAAAAAAAAAAAAAAAAAAGGAAAACACATATCTATTATATAGTAATTTAGGAGGGATCGTTATCCATATATTTTCATAATAGGACGTGTTTTGTCTCTATAAAACTTAGTTTTAAAGGCCTTTTCTTTTATTTTATACTCAAATACGTGTTCGCCATATGATTACCCACTAGAAAGATAAAAACGCCTGTAAATTCCACTGTAACGGTCTATTAATAATACTTGACTTGATATATAACGTAATATTATGCCAACGAGTTTGAATTTTTCGAATTGCTTGCGATTGTTGTAGCCGTGAATAATACCAATCACGTAGGCTAATTTGTTTGAAGGAAAGTATTTTAAAATGTGAAAATCAATCATAACATTTACAAATTCGGTCGCGTACAATTTATAATTTCGGACCAGGACATAAAACATATTTTACAACACAATATTACGATGCTCGTTGTAATGTAATTAGGCGCCGATTTTACTTACTTTAATATACTGCGAGGACCATATGACATTAAATGCATTGTGTTTTTATATTTTACAATAAACAGACCGATTTGGTGATGTACTACTGCTGTGCGATGTCCGGCAGCGTGTTGACAATATTCGGGGCGGTGTCCAGACAAAACAATGCGAAAAAAAAATAAAAATAAAATAATACTGCAATGAATTTAAAAACTTCCTGTTACGACAGCTGTATCAGCGTGTGTATCAGTGATGACCTTAATATAATAATATAATAGTAACAGTGATTCAGACGAGCTGGATTTTTTTTCGTTCGTTTGTTCGGTTTAATCGTATTATTAAATATATTTTTTTTGTAATACCGATTATTGTATACAACCATATCGCCAATTATATTGTTTACGGGCGTATTAACAGGGCATTTTTTCCCCTTCCATTAAACCACTATCTACCCATATAACCGAATATTTTTGAGAACGCGGACAGGATCAGAGGTTTAAATTATATATTATAATAAGTGATTTGTTTTCACGACGACATCTTCACTAAAAAAAAAAAAAAAATAACCAATAAGATCAATTTATTGAATAGTATTTAAAACAGAGTATTTGTGTTTTTAATAATTTTCTTATGTTCGACATCGGTACATATGCACTAAACGTATACTAGTTTGGTCGGATGAAATATTTGTTTTAATTCATTAATCAGGGATTTCAGAAAGGGTAGTGGTGTATTTAAATGTTTGTTCCGGGTTGGGGAGCATAAGAAACAATGTGTGCCAGCACCACACCCCCGATTTAAAAAGAAATTGCTTGTATCATTTAAAAAATTTAACAGATTATATATTATGTACAGAACTGTGATTTTAATGTATTTTTTCTCAAGTTTTTTGTGCGATGCTTGTTTTGTTATACATTTGTTTAATGCATTTTTCAATTCTAGAATGAGGGTTAACATTTAATTTTGGTTATTTTGATTTAACCGTTTTTTTTATTTTTTAGAGTAAAGCATAGAGATTTTTTAGTGTTTTTAGGGCATTTAAAGTTTTATTTTAAGATTAGCTAGTAAGATATATGTAAAACAAACTTCCAAGTACTTGTATTATACATAAATACATAATATATAATATATACGAGATACGTTATGTATTTATGTATGTATATATTATTATCGGATAATGGAAACTAACTGAGTGTACTGAGTACTGAGTGCTGTTTGGTTTAAAATTCGTATCGTGTATTTTTGAATGAGAACAAGATATTTCATTTTACATTTGTTGATAATTTTTGATTTTAAAGTTGTTTTTTTTTTAAATTTTTTGATTCCATTTTATAAGTGCATTGTTTTGAATTCTTTGAGCAGAAGAATATTATTTTTAGGGTATTTTTGGGACATTATAGGGTTTTGAATTCTCTGCCTGGTCATTATATATGTAGGAATATGAATTAATAAAGTAAGATACTGTTGATGGGTCAGTTACTGTTGAAGGTAGGAAGTTATATGAATATAAGATGTATAGTGTATTTTATTTTATGTACTGTATGCGATGACGAATTATTGAAAACGAAACATTATTATGA